CACCTTTTTTATTTGCAGATTCAGTTGTTTTGGTGATCTTAGATGGGGAGATTGGTTAGTGATACTTGTCCAGTGGAGGCTGTCCCGTTGGCTCAAGTTTCTTTTTCTTCATAGCTGTTATAGGTTTGCCCAGCGCAGACCTTGGAGAGGATCAGTGATTCCTGGTTAAATGCTTAGAGTCAAGAGGGTAATATAGGGTCGTCGGTCACCGGGTATTCCAGCCTTGCGAAGAACAACTTCACAGGTGACGTCTGCTAGTAAATGGCTAACTTTGTTTAATAGTGCCCGTCTTTGGTTAATATAGTCTTTTAGTCGACGAATCACTTCCGGAAATAGTAGTAAAAATATATTTGTTGGCAAAGTAGTTTACACTTAGGTGGCCCCTAAAAAGAACCGATGAAATTGATGGTTAAGTAGGGAACGTAAATACTCATAATGGCCCTAAAAAGCGCCAGTGGTGAGACTTCCAGGCTATTCTTTATTATTATTTCTGATGATTAAGAGCTGACTACGGGTAGCTTGATTTTTACCCTGGGAGACTTAATGTACGGCTAGGGAGACTGTGATGGACGGAGATACGCCGCTGACCAAAGAATATCTCGTCTTCAGGTCGTTCCCCGGATAACCAACTGCTCATCGTTAGACGGGAGCATGTGGGTAAGCGTGTTGGGGACGCGACGACTAAGAAGGTAGCCGTTGTGGCTGCCCGTGCCCCTCAGATCTATTTTCTCTGGCTTACATTTGTAGCAAAAATTTCTCTGACTGCACCAGGCGGGATGGTGGGACTGCCACACAACTCTGAAGAGTTGGTGCAGAATGTGCTCTGGCTACATATGTTTCCTAGTTTTCTGCCAGAGATGTCATCGATTGAAATAACTTTTTTTTTATCGCACTCGTCGAGATTCAGGATGAATAGAAACCTAGGTCTTTTCCCCCTTAAAGAAGAGTGTCGTCCGTAACCGGGATATCTAGCTGCAAGACTATCATCTACATTCTCCATGTAACTTGTTGAAATGCCGAAGCACGACTGCATGACTATCGAGACGCTCCGGCGTATTATAACCACACTTATTTAATTCGGTTGCAGGTAGCCTCGATTTTATGTCGACGCCACCTAGCGGATTTTACTGAACTAAAGTGAAAAGCTGGCTTATTTTCGCAAAACTTTGAGCTCATTTATTGCTATTGTTATCAAATTTTTCAAGATAAAAACTATACGAAAATCATCTAGGAAGTATTATGAGTCAGTGAGTGAAATTTCAGCAAAATCGGTTCTGTAGTTTTCGCGGTTAGCGATTACAACGGTTTTAGCGACTTTGCTTTATAAATTAGTAAGATTTTTGAAAAGTCGATATTGTTATGTTTATTTGGCAGTGGGGCCTTTAAAAAATATTTCTTATAGTAATAAATGTAAAATCTTCATGCTTACAAGACCAGGGCCAGCAATACTTAAATGTTGTTACACATTTATTTACTTACCACTTTTCTAAAAACACTGTAATAATCCTGCAGATGCATAATAATTAGTTGCGTACAGAGCAAGTTCTAGTCATGTTTGTCCACCGCTAGGATAACGCGTACACTGAACTGATGAGTTTAGCTAGTGGTTAAGAACTAATTAAGTTTAATCTTCTACTTTTGATTTTTTTTTTTTTCTTGTTTTGTAATGAATATGTACGCTGAGATATTAAATTTATTCATGCATAGAGTATATATATAAAAGTGTAGTTAATACTATTCTCTCTATAATATAAATAAATTTCTATTATCTGAATATTTTTTCAAATTTTTGCAAGGATAGTCTTTAACAACATTCTTAACTTATTTTCTGCGGAGGCATTAGAATTTTCTCAGTGCTCATTAGTAACTCATTTCAAACCAAGATTAAAATACTAAAATTACAATTTATCTCGTTACTGTTCTTGAAACTACAACTTGAAACTGGTCTAAGGTTTTAGTTTTTTTTTTCTTTAAATCTCTGACCTCTTATTCTTGTTAACTATCACAAAAACTTATTTAGGGTAAGTTTGAGGGTGATGACAGCAGCTGTAGTAAGAATTGATGTAGTATTTTACCAACAGGTTAACTATGGATACTTAAATGCTTACTCAACTCATGGTATCAAGACAAGAAAGCACAATAGATTTTGTAATGCTCTTATAAATTTTGTCAAGACCATTTACAATCTTATAAATTACCTAATATGCTAATTTTTAGTTTTTACATTGCATTATATACTGAATCTGTATGTAGCATGTGGATACACCTTATAATATCAATAAATTTCAAACATCTTTACCATCTTTACAATTTTCTAAGCATAAAATGAAAGGAGTAGCAAGATTATTTTATTCTTAATTTTTTAACTTTCATAAAACCTATGTTATGTAAGAATTAGAAGAAGACCCCAACGTACATAAATTTATGAAGTAAATTGTAAACTTTCTTATAAATAAGGCCTGAAGACATCAATGGCATTGTTAATAAGGTTCTTTGCACACTACAAAATATACCAGCTATTCTTCATTGCTTGTTGCTCAAATAAATGATATCTGAATCTAAATTAACTTATATTCTTGACTTTATGCATTTAAAATTTTTTAATTTAGTGTAAGAAAAGGATACAACTTTCTTCGGTGTAAGGAAGTATACTTGATGTTCCTTTTCTCGTATATCCATACATTGAGACATGTAATGTGTAACAATTAACATGTTCGCTTACAATTGATCGTATATATCTTCTAGCTGTACTTTCTTTGTATGAATCTTGATTATACATGGTTCTAAAAGGCTCGTAGTCATCAGCTAATTGAGATATTAGTTTCGGTATAACTATATGCCGTTCGTACCTTAAACATACGACATTATTATTGTATTATTTCATTATGATTTTCCGTTAAGAATGCTTCTGCTTATTTTAACTAGTGCATTCTGAGACAACAGAGTATATTCTTATTTTCCATAAAATAAAACAAAATTCGATTGCTGTTTGTAAATTTACTGGAAGAAAACTAATGGATAAGCCTGAAAAAGTAACCCTCAATTAATTTATATATGTATATTATCTTAGTTACTTATTGAAATATTCTCAATCGTGTAAGTCTTTAAGTTTAACTAGTTTAAAAAATCGCTACTAAGCTAAATGCAATTCTCTTACGAGCTTAGTTGATATAATAAGCTTAGAGAGAAACATAGTACTGTCATAACCATACTTCTTTAGTTTCCAAATTTTTTTAAAGTTAAGTCTTGCTGCAAAGTTAACCACATTGCAAAAACTTACGTATTGACTATACAAAAATTGAAACCGAAACTCCATGGTTTTTAATTGCGTCAATTTCCTATTAAAAATACAAACACTTCTATGCTTAAAATAAAAGTGAAAAAATTAAATCATTTCCGTACATCGTGCTGTTTTTGTTTTTGAAAAATACATGCTGAAAGTATGAGGCTGTTTAACGCAGTTATGCAAGCAAATACAATTTGGATGACTATTTATTAAAAGAACGCCATATTCGAGCATACATTTTTAGATGTTTGTCTGTGTTCTTTTCTATGTTAAGGTCATCACTATTTTACTTGTCTAAAGATTTATTTATTTTTAACTTTTTCGTTAAAAATAAAGTTTTTAGTATAGAATGAGGTTACCCCAAAGAAAATTTGTGATTTCCCACCTGCCCTTCATTCAATTTGTCAATTTTATAATGTCTATAACGATCTTTTGAAGTACTTCAATTAGAAAAAAACCATCCAAGTGAATTTTGTTTACAAACTTTTTAGTAACCAAAGTTTTGCATGTATTTAAATTGTTATCACCCCATACCGTTTACACTATACTGTAAAGGTTCGTTATGATAACTGTAACTTGGGGTTGCTGATTTCTACAATGACACATTTTTTCAAACAAGATTTTTCAAAATTTTTCAAAGCCGTTGTCAACATTTGTAATAATATACCAGCAGGTTTGTATAACCTGTATAACGCTGTAAGGAGGGTTGGTGTGACTCTATCTGCCTGGGAAGCGTCCAAGACAATCTTATTCTTTAAAAAAGAAGACAATAAAGACATCAAAAACTGGAGGCCTATATACCTGGGTAATACTGTTCCTAAGCTGTTCACGGCACTGTTATCCAAGCAAGTCAGAAAATAGGGGGCCGACAATGCAAGAATTAGCGAGACCCAGAAGGGCTTTCTGAGCTTCAAGGAGTGCTTCGAACACAATTTTATCTTCGAAGAGATCATTTGACCTGGGAAGCGCATTTAACTCTGTCCCGCACCTGTACATCTTTCGAGCGCTCGAGGGGCACGAGATGCCGCAAAAAAAAGGATGGTCATCGCATCACTCTACGCGTACATGACCACCAATGTACGTGTGGCCGAAGATGACACGGCGCCGATTTCCGTCCTTTCGGGCGTGCGCGGAGGTCCTGCTGCGTAGCCTCAGGAAACGTAGGAGGGGTACATGCTTGGGGTTAGGCATTATAATAACCTGTTTCACATGGATAACGAAGAGCTGGTGGCTGACTCGCCGGCTGGCATGGAGAGACTGCTGTTAGTAGCTGAGGCAAACGCTGCAGCAGTTGGCATCTTATTCAACCCTGTCAAGTGCGTGACGTTGCATGCTGTTGATGGGAAGGCCGGGGGTGCTCGCCCCACTGAGTTTGTCCTTCAGGGCTCTCGTGTCCTGGCACTGGACTCAACTGAAGCCTATGAGCACCTTGGTATTCTCACGGGCTACCAGATGTGATAGACAGGAGTAAGTACGATCAAGGAGCTTCTCAGTGACGTCACAAAGATCGATGACTCCCTTCTCACCCTCTGGCAGAAGTTCGACGTCGTGAGTACATTCCTACTACCAAGGATGGACTTCATTATGCAGGGGGCAGAAGTGGAGAAAGAATACCTCACTACAGCTGACAAAGTCATCAAGAGGTTGGCTAAGAGCTGTATGAGTTTCCTACAGAGGCGAGTGCAGAGCTGGTCAACCTGGCTCCAGCTAGAGATGGAGGAGGACTCTTACCACTGGGAGACCTTGACGATCTGCTAATGGTTGCGCATAGCTACAGGCTCCTAATCGTCAACGACGCAGCTGTGAGCTTCTTAGCATTACATCTGTTTAGCGAAACTGTCTTCGAAAGGCTGAGAAAACCAGCTAGTGAGGTGGATATCGCAGGATACCTGTCCAAAAATTTGGATGTACCCTCATCCAGTGCCAGATCATCATTCTGAGCGAGGGTGAGGAGCTCAATGAAAAGGATCAGGTACAAGCTTGGTATGTACTGGAGATAGTATCGCGAGAGGCGTGTTCGGGCTGACCGATGGAGGGGAGAAAGAGCCACTTGGTGCACACGCTTCGTCGCACACTTTCCAAACACTATGAGGGCATCCTACGTGCCAAGCAAGACCAGGGAAAAGTAGTTGCGGTAACTAGAAAGTTTGCAATATCTAACCACTTCGTTAGGAGCAGCAGAAATACCTGCTTCTGCGACTGGCGCTTCATTCACCGAGTAAGGCTAAATGTCCTGCCCGTAAACGCTATAATACGAAGTATAGTGGGCTTAGATAAGAGACGTCGCAAATGCCGGGCCACCTTGGAATCGCTGCCCCACGTGCTGTGCCACTGCATGATACATGCAGGTGTTAGACAACACAGGCAAAACAACATCTAGGACAGGATTGTGAGAGCTACACGCTGTCCTGGTGAGGTGATCATAAATTAGATAGTTTACGGAATCCGTAGTGCCGTGGCAACGCTCAGACCCAACATAGTCGTACGCGATGAGGGGAAAGGTCGAGTGGTCATCGTCAACGTATGCGTGCCCTTTGAGAACCGCAGAGCGGCCTTCCATCGGGCCTGCCGGGAGAAGATATACAAGTACCAGACGATTGTTGACGAGCTGACGGCACAAGGCTATGGCATGCATATTGAGAGCTTCATCGTGAGATCTCTGTAAGGCTGTGGAGGCTGCAACAAGCACGTAATCGGCCTCCTGGAGATTGGCAGATGGTATGCTGGCATGATGAGACGATTTATAGTCAGCGATACTGTTCGATGGTCCAGAAATATGTACGTCAAGCATGTTTCCGGAGTAAGGCAGTACAAGGACTAGGAGGCTCTTCTCGGCATCTGTATGTCTGTGAATCTGGTAGTGATCTGTAATGAAACTGTGATAGTAAACTGTAATAGGCCTGTATCAGTGCTGTTTCGCCTGCAAGTTTTATAAATTATTCTAGTCCAGCAAACTAAATCTAATGTTGCGCAAGTAAGGCCGAGAAGCCTACTAACTTTACCTACGTGAAATCATAAATATGTGTTCCTTACCCAATGATTTGAATCAAAAATTTTAATATAACGAGACAAGTATTAAGTGCTGAATATATAATAGAAGCAAGACGTTAACATAAATTAAACAAATAATAACTTTTACAACTTAGACTGATAAAGCAGTGTATTCATGTATTTATCTACTATTTACTTATTTGGTTATTTATTCATTTATTTACTTGATAATTTATTAAATTTGATACAAACAAAAGACTGTGTATTGATTTACGTATATCTAAATGAGACCACAAAAATTTTATGTACTACACAATAGCACCCACTGACACACACACACACACACTTACACTGACAATTGTACCTACCTATAGCAGGAAGTCTTGTCTTCAATAAACGAAATATGTTCTTATTACCTTCATATCTGATATGTCCCTCACTAAGAGACCAGAATATTAAACTGATTTTTGAAACAAGGCAGCATATCTGGGCCTTGCTCTGATCTTACCACGGGTGTGTGTGGGTATGTGGGTAGGTGGTTATGTGTGTTTTCTTAATGTTGGTCAAGAAATGTTATTTATATTGAAATATATTGTTGGTTCATGAAAGACTATATATAGACTATATATATAAACTAGTGGGATGCCGCCCTCCTGTGTGCACCACGCGTCAACCTCCCATTTCCAGTTGAAAATTAATTAGTGAAATAAAAAAGTTTCTTATTTTTTATTTTTCTTATACAATCTTTAAT